ACAATTTACAATAGCTAAGATTTGGAAACGCCTAAGTGCCCATCAGCAGATGAATGGATTAGAAAAGTGTGGTACATCTACACAATGGAATACTATGCTGCTGTAAGAAGGAAGGAACTCCTACCATTCAAAACAGCATGGATGAAACTGGAGAGCATTATGCTAAACGAAATAAGTCAGTTGGAGAAAGATAAATATCACATGATCTCACTCATTTGTGGATTATAATGAACAACATGAACTGACGAACAAAAACAGATCCAGAGACAGAGAAGCATCGATCAGACCTTTAAACCTCAGAGGGAAGGCAGGGGAGGGTGAGGGTAAGGGGGAGAGATCAACCAAAGGACTTGTATGAATGGAGATAAGCATAACCAATGGACAGACACTAGGGGGGGTGAGGCTATGAGTGGAGGGGGTGTTTGGGGGGGCAATGGGGTGATAAGGACACATATGTAATACTTTAATCAATAAAAAAATAAATAATTTTTTAAAAAATAAAAATCAATAGAAACATACTTTAAAACAAGACGTCATCAGCTTGGCCAAGGGACCCAATGGTTGGAGCATTGTCCATGCACCAAAAGGTTTCGGGCTCGATTCCCGGTCAGGGTGCATACCTCGAATGAGGTTCGATCCCTGGTCGGGTGTGTAAGAGAGGCAACCAATCAATATTTCTCTCTCACATGATGTTTCTCTCTCTCTCTTACCCTCCTTTCTCTCTAAAATCAATTAAAAACATACCCTAGGGTGCGGATGAAAAGATCGTGCTTAGAGCAGCCTAGGCGGAGCCCTGGAGCCGCCCTGCTCTCCTCCCATTAGCGGAAGCCCTGCTCCCAGGGCTCTGTGCTGGGAGCCGGAGGGCAGTGAAGAGGCCTGTGCTTGACTTTCCCGCGGGCCCCCAGGGTGCAGAAGGTGAGACTTACTTCCCAGTGGCTTGGGGGTCCCCCAAAGCTCTTTTTATCAATACACAAAGGCTTAAAGGAGACAAGCATTCACTCCATGGGACAGTCCAGGGCAGCCTCGCCTGGCCAGGTCTGCTCTCCCGGGACATCTAGCAAAGACCTGTCTCACAGGAGACAAGAGAGAGGTGTTGCTCTGGAGGAAATGGACTCAAATACTTAAAGTGCTGGGCTGCTGCGTGGGTGTGGCACGCACTCCTCGCCTCAGGAGGCTGCTGTGCTGCGAGAGCAGAGGGTGTTGCTGATGCTGCTTTTCCAGGATCAGTTTCCAAAGGGCTGAGCTGACCACAAGCCTCTCCTTCGATTCCCATCGGCTCACAGCCGGATGGACCAGGCGTGTGGGGCTGCCCTCTCCCTGAGTCAGGCAGGACGGCTGGCGGGCCCTCCTGCTCTCTCTCCGTGCCCTTGAGTGCCCACGTGGTCCCAGGCATTTCCAGGGACCTGAAAGGGAGAGACCTGCTCCAGCCCGAGGCTGATCAAGCCAACCGACTCAGGGACTAGGAGCCTTTTGTGTGTCCAGCCGCTGGCCAGGGCTTTATGCTGGGGCTTGAAACCACATTAAAAACTAATGAAGTGCCCTTCCTGATTCCGCTTTGCGAGAACATGCCTCTCTGAGTATCAGGGCATCGTTACTTCCCTGAGGAAAGCCCAGGGACATCCATATCCAGGGACGCTCTGCCAAAACACCATTACATGGTGCCCCGATCTCACTCAAATTTCTAAACAAATGTGAGCACTAAAAAATGATTTAGAAGTAAAATCGATTGCAGAATTGATTTTACTGATATTACTATCAGTAATATCCTTCACAGTACAGAATTCAGAGCAATTAGATATTTCCAAACCAGCTCATAGGGCTCAACCAAATCTTGACAGTGAACTAAGATGCCCCCACGGAACGCACCCCACGCCACAGCCCCACTGCCCACAGCACTGCACCAGCCTCGCAAGTTTGGAGCTGGAGATCCAGTCAACATTGAGACAAGGGACATGAGTGCTGGTCATGAGCCTGTGGAGTCCCGTCGTGCAGTGAGTGAGACATGCTAGGGCTCCAAAAGTGCTGCGGGTGCCCCCGCCCACGGTTACAAGGGGTGCGATCTGTCTCTAGTGAGAGCGCCGTGTAAAACCTGACTTTCGTGCACCGAGTCTCCAAGATCTCCACCTCCTGGCTTCACATGCTGCTCCGGCAGCCCTGGGAGGCAGGAGGGAGGCCACGCTGCTCCGGCATCGGCAGTTTGCATGTAGAGTCTGAAAGTGCACAGTCACCTGACAGTGATGTGAAATGAGGCAAACGTGCAATCTCTGTAATAGAGGCCCGCCCTGCCGGCAGCGCAGTCGGCAAGCGCTGTCCTGATGGGCCCAAACTCTGCCGTTTACTCTTCTAACACATTTTCTCTATTTGTGACAAGTAATATGGATTGTTTTAAATTATAAGTTATTTTTCTTCTTTAAACCCCCCAAAAGTCAGTTAGATAGACACACCATTAGGCCACAGACAGGAGACTTTGGCTAAGCTCAGTGGCCTGGTGGGTCACTCCCCACTGGACAGCTGCCCTCCCGCTGACAAAATGCCCAGACATCACCCAACCATGCACTGTTACCTCCTGTCAGACTGACAGGTAAACGCTCAGAGTCACTGAGAAGCGGGTCTACAGAACAATAGGGCGGCTGACAGTGTGCGAGTGAACCCGTCAGGCCCTCTCAGGACACTCTCGCAAGCAGTCAGCAGAAAGCTAGACGTGACCGAGGACCTCCTGCGTCAAGGCACCAGGACGAGAGGGCGTACAGACCTCTCTGAGGCTCAGCCCCGCGGGAAACCTTATTCCAGCCAGAAATGTTTGCGTGCCCGACCCCTGCCGACCTCAAAGGACACCTTTGCATAAATAGAGCTGAAATGTTTACATCCATGGAGGTGTTTTCCAACGTTATTTCTAAGCATAGTTGCACAATGAAGTTTTTCTTTAGTATTTGTCTACATTTGCCCTTATTTCTTATTTGATTGAACTATGTATCATATAATTACTTCAGCAAACATTATTTCAGCAGCGGGAACAGTTTTCTATTTGTCTGAGAAGACAAGTGTTTTTATAATTGAATGTTTCATGTTTTAAAAATACAGGGCAACTTTATTTTTTGTTCCTTTTTTTTTTTTTTGGCTGAAACTGAACACCTGAAAAGCAATACTACGGGTTTCATATTTCTCCACTAATATATTTTATTTGAAAACATCCACATGAAAGCTTGGCTAAAAGGATATTCACTCCAAGAAGCAAAATGGCTTTTACCCCAACAGAAATCTTAATCAGAGAGATTGGAAAACAGTAACACAGAGCGATTCTGTTGTTCCCATTACCTGAATGGTATTTGAAATAAAAAAATTACTCCTGGCCACTTTGCTTTCATAGAACAGTGAATTTCATGTTATCCTTTCCAACAAGGTTACCAATTTATCAAACATTAATTTACCAAAAGCCAATACCACTGAGATAAGCTATTTATAGAATTTAGTGGCAAAAAAGGCAATTCATTAAAATGCCAAGTATCTACAAATATATACAAATACATTCCAAGTCTGTCCCCAATAAATTAATAACTACCATATGGCATTTTAAGATCATAGTAAACATCTAGGCACTTAAATAAAAATTTCATCACCTTTCTTTGTTTTTAAACTTAGATTAAAATTGAGTACACCAGTGATACCATTTGATTTTTCCCCCATTGGGTCTATAGTTCTTCAACATTATCGCAAATATTTCTTAAAATGTATTTGGATTCAGTAAAAGTTAAAAAGTTGGTTTCTTCCTACCTGCCCGCCTCGTGGGTTGGTGAGAATGAGGGCCCTTCGCAGACCTGCCTGTAGGCATCTCCAGGTGGAGCCAGGGAGGGAGTCCCTGGGTGCAGGCGGACCTGCCCGCCGTCCTCACTGAGCTGAGTGACAGACCCCGGCACTCTCCTCCCACCACTAATATTTGTGGATAAAGTCCTATTTAAAGTGCAAATAAATATCAACAGCAACTTAATTTTTATTATACAAAGTTGGAAAGGATAGGAAGCGCTAAGGAGATTTTAAAATCACTCATAAATCCAACTTCTACAGGAAAGCATCCTGGCGCATTTTCAGTGTCTGTCTCAGCAGTCAGTCCTTGTTCTGTGTGTCAAGATAACACTGCCCAGCATACGGGACTATCAGACAGGTTCACAGTGAGTAAAAGATTGTGAGTCAAAATAATTAAAAATCACAGACTAAACTACAGGGTGGGGGCAGGCGTGGGTCCAATTCCTCATCCCTAGGTCATAAGGACAGTGGGGACGGTAAGAAAGATGGCCTTTCCAACAGAAGAACCTGGGAAGTGTCTCAGGGTCCAAAAGGAAGTTCAGAGGCTGCTGACCAATAGGTTCCATTGTTGCTGGTGAGCCTGTGACACCAAAAAGAAGCCATTCTTTAGCGAATGCTGCACTAACCAGGAACATAGGAGGGAGCTGGGGTTGCTCATACCGAGTCTGAATACAGCCCAAGGAGTAAGGCTCAGTCATTCTATGTGATCACAGGACCCATTTTTGTTGTTTTAACCTGAGGAATGGCTCAGTAAAAATGTAATTTTGAAATAGATCCCCTACTTATGGATTTCCAAATATTTTATAAACTGGGATGTGAGGAGTAATTGTGAACAATTCTTTTTACTCCAAAAAAAAACTGTCTTTATTAAATAGTCTTTAAAAACTAATCCTAAATTGGTGATCTTCACTGGTTAGAGAGGAGTGTTATTTCATTTACATATAAGGTAATAAAAACACAAAAAGAGGAGTCCAGGTTCATAATAATTTTAATTTCTATTCACATGTATTACATTTGAAAGAGTTAGGTCAAGATTTTTTGGTGTGTGCAGACCAAGGAAAAATATATAACCACTAGAGGCATGGTGCATGAAATTCGTGCACTTGGGGGGGATCCCTTAGCCTGGCCTGCGCCCTCTCACAGTCTGGGAGCCCTGGGGGGATGTATGACTGATCGCTTAATGGGCCTAAGCCGTCAGTCAGACATCCTTAGCATTGCCACGGAGGTGGGAGAGGCTCCCACCACTGCTGCTGTGCTCGCCAGCTGTGAGTCCGGCTTCAGGCTGAGCAGTGCTGCACACTGACCATCAGGGGGCAGCTTCTGCATAGAGTGTCTGCCCCAGCGGAGAGGGCCCGGCAGTGGCGGAGTGCAGACCTGGGTGCCTCGGGGCGCTGAAGGGTGTTCGACTGTGTGCTATTGTTGTGGGCACCCCTGGCGGGGGTGACAGGGGAAGAGATCGGGAGTCGGAGGTGTGGGTTGCAGCTACCCTCGAGGCTGGGTCTTCTCCCTGTCTGGTCAGCCTACCTGTCCCTTCAGGGGTGCGGGGGCTGGGGTAGGGTGTCCCCCTGTCACCCTGGAGGTGCGGGGGCTGGGGTAGGGTTTCTGTCTGTGCCCCCGTTGGTGCGGGGGCTGAGGTAGGGTGTCTACCTGTCCCCCTGGCAGTGCGGGGGCTGGAGTAGGGTATCCTTCCATCCCCCCCTGGGAGTGTGGGGGCTGGGGTAGGGTGTCTGTCTGTCTCCCTGGGGGTGCAGAGGCTGGGGTAGGGTGTCCATCTGTCCCTGCAGTGGTGCAGGGGCTGGGGTAGGGTTTCTGTCTGTGCCCCCGTTGGTGCGGGGGCTGAGGTAGGGTGTCTACCTGTCCCCCCGGCAGTGTGGGGGCTGGGGTAGGGTGTCCGTCTGTCCCCCTGGGGGTGCAGGGGCTGGGGTTGGGTGTCTGGCTGTCTCCCTGGGGGTGCGGGGGCTGAGGTAGGGTGTCCGTCTGTTCCCCTGGGGGTTTGGGGGCTGGGGTAGGGTGTCTGGCTGTCCCCCTGGGGGTGCGGGGGCTGGGGTAGGGTGTCTGTGCAGGGGAATTGGAAGAGCTCCCCGTGGCCGCTTCCTCTTCCTTCTTTGCAGTCCGGGCTCCTGTCAGGCACTCTCCTCAGACCCCTGGGAACTTGGCTCCTGCCGCCCACCTCCTGCTGGTCTGTCAATATGCAAATTGGTTGTTACTGGGACACCATAAGAGACAATTAGCATATTACCTCTTTATATGTACAGATAGTATTTCTTTTTAAATACTAAAGTAGTTTTGTTATAAACAGCAGTATTAATTCCTGTAATTATTGATATTTAAATAATTCAAGCCATATTCCCCTTTATTTTGCTAATTTTTATAGGAATGTTTTTCCAAAGAACACAAAGGAATGAGCAAAAATCACATTAGGAGTGTTCATATGATTCCCTGGTATTTTTAGTATAATAGATATTTCTAAAATATACATAAAATGTTTACCTCTTCAAGTCCTTTTCTCCTACACATTAAAATATTATTCCATTTTAATTGATCATTAGTGGTAATGTTTCCTAAGAATTCAGCTTTCAGATTTTTTTCTTCCTGGCATATTTCTCAGATCATCAATTATTAACAAACATTTAACTAAATCAGTTGAATTTTATTTAAAGAAATTTTTTCATAAAGTGAGTTGCCTTAGAAATACAAGGAACCTTTTTTAATAACAGTTTTCATCATATTGCCCAGACAGAATTACCACAATGGGACAAATTATATACCTGATTTTCTTAGATGGTCAAATGTATTTGTCCCAACTCAGTGGGTGAATTTCTCATTGCCAAGTAGCCTATAATGCTGCAGTTTTTTAAATTTTAGTTCTTTATAAATGAGTCATGTGGTCTGTGTACATGGAGCCCTTCCCAGGAGACCGCGACGTCCTGAAGGCGGGCTGTGCCTAGTTTTCCCCATGGCACCCACCGCGGCACGGGCACCGGGGTCTTAGGGGGGAGGGAAGGAGAGGTTTACGTGAGCACTCTGTGCTCCTGTCAGCATTTCATACAAGACAAGAAACGATCCTTATTCTTCATGTCCAGCTTCTTTACCTTCATTATCCGATTTTGTTAGGCAGGTACATTAGTTTCAGCTGCCATAGCCAATTGCCACAAACTGGGTGGCTTAAAAAATATAGAGGTTTCTTCTCAGACAGTTTTGGAGGCCAGAAGTCTGAACTCAGGGTACAGGCTGGGCCATGCTCCCCGGGACTCCTGCCCAATCTCACAGTTCTCAAACTGTGGGTCGTGACCCCTTTGGGGGTCGAACGACCCTTTCAAAGAGGTCGCCTAAGACCATTGGAAAACACATATATAATTACATATTGTTTTTATGATTAATCACTATGCTTTAATTATGTTCAATTTGTAACAATGAAAACATATCCTGCATATCAGATATTTACATTACGATTCATAACAGTAGCAAAGTTACAGTTATGAAGTAGCAACGAAAATAATTTTATGGTTGGGGGTCACCACAACATGAGGAACTGTATTAAAGGGTCACGGCATTAGGAAGGTTGAGAATCACTGTCTTAGAGGAATAAATTATTTTTCTAATGTTTGGAAGTCACTGTTAAACACTGTTATTTTCTTCTATTGAAAATTCTATTATAAAACATATCCGTCTGAGTGACTGATCCTCTGATTCCCATAAGTATTTGCCGTCCCTGCTTGTCCCCCATCCCCTACTCCTTTCCTCCTCCACATGGCAACAGAATAACCACGTGGCCAGGTGGGCGACCGCATGGCTGACGTGTGTCTGCCCTCCAGGCTCAAACCTCCCCTCTCGTGGGCTGTTGGGAGGGTGGGACAGCCAGCTTCTGACCCATCCCAAGCCCTTCTCCATCAGCCCCATCAGGAAGGAAGTCCGACCTTCATCCTCCCTCTCCTGTGTCTCCCTCAGCTGGTCAGGACTTAGGTGGTGAGGAGAAGGAGTTACTTAGTAACCGCCTTAGCGACCAAGTGTATTAGGAAGCTTTTATTTCCCACATGATTTGTGAGCATAAAACAGTGAATCGGAAAAGCTCCCAAAAGGCCGCAGCCAAAGATATGATCAATGTGTAGTTAAAGGATAGGTAACACTCTGTCCCAGGGGGAGAGGGACTTATTTTCAGTTTAGACCCAAACTGCAAGTTACTCTTCTGGTCAAAAGGAGCAAAATACAATTAGCGACCTGACCCACCCCATGCCCTCCCTGCCCCCAGGGGCAGGACACACACCTGAGCTTTGTCACTTCTGAAAAGCTACCCAGGCCTCCATGGCCTGTCAACTCCTCAAGCACTTTAACTCCTCCTGGAAGGAGCAGGATATAAGTAAGTGTCTACTCACCTTCCAGCATCCAGCTCAAGTGTCGCCTTCGCTGCAGAACCAAGGGCGTCCCCGACTCCCAGACCTCGCCATCCCTTCCTCTGTGCCGTCGCGTGTAACACGCATGCTGCGCAGTTTGCCTCTCACATGGGAAGACGGGCCCTCGGGGCAGAGTCTCGCCTCCAGTGTGTCCACTAAAATGCCGGTCGCAGATGCTCCTGTGAGTGTGGAGAAGTGAGGACCCGTCTCACTCGGCGGCTGAGCAGACACGCCTGCCTACTCCTGTGCTGCTCTTTTTTCACTCCTTTCTTTTAACTGGAGACGGAGCCTCCTCTTCTTCCTGTTCAGTGAGATCATGGGCTTGAGAGGGGGAAGCATGACGCTGTGAGGGGTGCCCAGCTGGGTCCCCAGGCCCCAGTCAGCGGAGGATGCCTTTCTCCCTCACACGTACCCAAAGAACGAGTCTCGACAACAACCCAAATTTTAACAATGTTCTCTAATCACATATTTTCTTTCCGTCTTAATTTATGAGAAGAGTTGAAAAACTGAAAGTACTTGGTAATATTGAACATATGATTTTGTATATGGTGCTTCAAAAAGAAGGGATTTTTTCTGTAGAAATAACATCAGTCCCTCATTGCAGTGGAATATTTGACTTTTCCTTTTTCTTACTTCATAAACAAACACATGAAGGGCACATTCAATCCTGGTTTTCTCCCTAATGTCCCAGATGGTGGTAACGTGGTGGGTAGTGAGCAGCTCTCCATTCACAGCACCTGTACGGTCACAGTGACGGAACTGCCAGGCATGGCGGGTCATCCGCTACCACTTTTCTAACTGAACCCCGAGGTTCTATTTTCTGTGAAATTGAAACTGGAAACAAATCTTTGGACAATTCTGACCTGGAAGTCCTGTCTGTAGGTCAGCCTCTAACTTTCCATAACCAGCTGAGCAAACAGCTGACACAGGGGTGCCCCTGTCCTCTGGTCCTTCCCGTCAAGATCCACTTCTTCTGGTCAGAGATGCAAAGAGCAGCGAAGGCAGAGAGGAAGCCGGTGCAGGGAAGGGGCGGGACAGCGGCAGCAAGCAGTGAGGCAGACCAGGCTGGGCAGGTGAGCGTTTCCCGCCACAGCTGACGCTGGAAGGAGCTGCGGAGAGTGGTCATGTTCGCAATTAGCAGGGGACTGAGAAGGACCGCAGGGCCGAGTGTCCAGTGCCACAGCCAGGAGCAGTGCTAGAGCTCCTGGACTCACCCCTCCCCGGCCCCCGCCATCCTCCTCTTGGCACCCTCGCACATGCCTTGTAGGGAGCTCATGTTCGCTCTTCACAAGGGACTGTAACTTCCTCTTGTGAAGTAGAACTTTCACAATTCTGTGAAAAATAAATTGTCCTGGGACAAGGCTGAGAGCGTCCCATTAGGGTCCGTGTTGCCCTGCCAAGAGCTCCCAGTCCAGGGGAGGAGGTGGAGTTTGTGTGGGAACGGCCATTGGGTCAGGGGGAGCTCCTGGCATAAGAGGGAGCCAACCATAGGCTGGTGGGGAGCCCAGACGGGGCTTAGAGCAAAAGGCTCTTGTAACTGGACTGTCTGTCCTCCTGCTAAATGTGGGTTAGACTTACCAGTCGGCAGCGAGAGAGCAGCCCACAAGAGGGAAAGAACAGAGACAAGATGGGGAGGGAATAGAATCGCTTGTTTTTGAGGTGCCGGGGTTCCTCACACGTCCACACACAGCCTCACCTTGCAATGAGGGGGCTCCGGCCTCTCCTTCTTGCATGTAAAATAGCCTGTCATTCACATCCCTCGGAAGTGACACAGATCTGCTCTGGCGACAAATAAAACGCTCCGACCTCAGCTGCTTAAAACAACCCAGGTTTCCTTCCCTTTAAATGCCCAGCGCGAGGCATCACACCCCTCCAAGGTGCAGATGCGAGGGCACGGGGGGCCTTCTCGATGCCGCGGCAGAGAGCGTCCCGGGAGGTCGTGTGCAGCAACCTGAACAAGAACAGGGCACACGCGCACCCGGGCTTTCCCTGCTGCGCGCTCCCGTCCGGTGTCAAAGGCAATGATCGCGCGTGGAGTTGCGCGGACTCTCCAGTCTCAGGGACACGACTAAGTCTGCGTCTGCTCACCACCGCCCCAGCACTACCCCCGGAAGAAGAAGCCCCGGTGTTACGGCTTTTTAATTGAATTTACTGGGGTGACATTACAATTATGTAGGTTCAGGGGAACAATTCTATACACAGCGTCTGTTTGTTGTACTGTGTCCTCCCCCCAAGTCAGCTCTCCTTCCGTCACCGTTTACCCCTTCACCCTCCCCGCCTTCCCTCGGCGACGGCCGCCTCTGTCCGAGTCCGAGC